TGCTGGTGGACATGGCGGTCGTGAAGGGGGTCTCCTCGCGGGTGGTTTTGGTGGCATTCTTCTAGTTGTTGCTTCAGGCACTGGGCATGGAGGTTTTGCAGCTATTCTCAGTTGTGCTGCTCGATTGGGTCTTGCTTGAACTCTTTGAGAAGGTGGTGGAACAGATGCTTTCTTCATAGGTTCAGGACATATTCGACGTTTTGAATAAGCACCAAATCCACGTTTCATTGGAGGGGGTTGCGGCTTTTTTTCTCTTAATATTGGGAACTCTCTTTTAACTGTATGTATAGTAAGAGGTTTTACAGGTTTTTTCGGTTGACCAGTGTCTTCTGTACGCGAGCACCACCATCCTGAATCAGGCCTACGTCCAATTTGCTTGGCACCTGGTGGTAACTTTTCAGCTCTTGCTCTACTAGCTTTTGTAGTTTTAACTACAGGTGCTTTAGGAGCTTTTGTATCTCTAAGTTGTTTTGTAATACGTGGTGGACATATCTGACGTGTTGGCTGAGCCTGAAAACCTGTAGGTCGCTTAGGCGGACATGGTCCCTGACCTTTCATAGCCATTCGAAGAGCTGCTGCTTTATTCGCAGCAGGTATTTTCGGAGCAGAAGGAACTCTCCTTGCAGGAGGCTTACATGGAACAGTGGGTGGTTTGATTTGGGATGAAGATTTCTTAGCTAACCTAAGCGCCGCTGCTTTAGTAAGTTTAACTTGTGGAGTTGGTCTGCATGGTCCTGCCGCAGGTGCTGCTGCACTTCTTGGTGCCGTTTGTCGGGCTCTTGGCGCCGGACGCCTTCGTGCAGCAGCAGCTTTAGCTTGTGCTTCGCATCGAGCTTTTTCTTGAGCCTGTTGCTTTTCTTTTGCAGCTAATCTCAGAGCTGCTGCTCTGTTAATGGTAGGTGCTTGTGGAATTGCTCTGCGCGATTGGGTTACTCTGGGAGCCGCTTTACCAGCAATTGGTATTTGTTGTCTTGGTGCGCGAGCGCCTGGCCTTGGACCTCTTCGCGCTGCTGCGCAAGCTTCAGCTTGAGCTTTCGCTTGAGCTTGTTTTTCTTTAGCGGCCAGTCTGAGAGCTGCTGCCCTGTTAAGAGTAGGAGCCTGTGCAATATTTCTTTGTGACTGACTTACTCTAGGCGCTGGTCCACATGGTGCTGCCTGTTGTTTTGATGCAGTTCTTCTTAGTTGACGCCTTCTTGCTTCCGCCATTCTTGCCTTTTTTGCTGCAGCTTCAGCACAGGCTCTTTCTTGAGCCTGTTGCTTTTCTTTTGCAGCCAATCTAAGTGCGGCTGCTTTATTAGCGGTTGGTATCTTCGGAAGAGGTTTAGTAGGTGCAGGTCGTTTTATGGGTGCCGGACAAATACCACGTTTACCAGCTGCTCCGAATCCACGTTGTTCAGGAGGTAAAAATTTCATTGGTTTTTTATAAACCGGAAATTGAGGACCTTTTATTCGACCTAAACGTGCATTCCTTTCAGCACGCAGTCGTTGAGCATTTGCTTTATTTGCTGCTGCCGCTTGTGGCGCACATGGTTGTGGTGAAGGCGCACATGGTTGTGGTGAAGGCGCACATGGTTGTGGTGAAGCTTGTACTGGTGAAGGTTGAACTGGTGCACATGGGCCACCTGATCGAAATGTTGTTTCTAAACGTGAATCAAAAAAGGGCATCGGTTTTGCAGCACGTTCTGGTGACACTCCTGGTATTGGAGTTCTATTCAACCTCTGTTGTATAGGACTATATGTGATAGGCGTACTTATAGCAGAAGGTAATCTAGGATCTCGTCTCCTCTGTGGTGTAGGCCGAGATGGACATACAGCTCCTTGTGGAGTTGTGGGCTCCATTAGTGCTGGATCTGAATATTCAATGATGTCATTCGGATCATCTGGAATAGTAAATCTATCAAATGATGGTATTGTGGAACTTCTGTCTGGTGACCTAAAACCAGAAAGATCTGGAGTATTATAAGGAGGCATAGGTACGCGACCTTTCGATACTCTTGTCTGTCTAGTTTTTCCAACTATTGGGACGCATGCACGAATGGCATTCACTTGAGATGGAGGAAGTGTACGTCTGGGAGGATTGACTCCATATGATGGTGGAATTAGTTTAGCAACTGATGGAACTTTAGGAGCTCTTGCGTCTCTTAGACGTTTTTTAAGAGGCTGAGGACAAATCCCACGTTGTTGATAAGCATCAAAACCCGTTCGCTTTGTTGGAGGAGGAGCATATGATGGTTTTTGTGCAGCTGCACGCAACATTGCCGCTTTATTAGGTCTTGGTGGCAGTGCTGTTTTTGATGGACATGGTCTTGCACCTCTTGCAGGTGGTCTCTGCATATGTGGTAGCGATGAACTTGGGCGTGTTGTCCGTGGTGTCTCACATATTTGTTGTCTCGATGGTGGTGCTCCTGTATAATTTGGGGGCCGAGGTGGTGGACATGGTATTTGTGTCGGAAATTGATCGCGTACTGCACGTAAATGAGCTCTATGTGCAGCTACACCAATATTTCTATCTACTAAAGGACTATCTGGCATCACCATTTTTGCAGATGGTGGTGAACCAATTTCTTGTGGGCATATTTGAGATAAGGAAGGACTTCTCCGTCCTCTTGGTGGACATATTCTTCGTTGTGGTACTTGCAAAAAATTGGGATCTTGTGGCGGTGGTAGTGCCGAATAGTCTTTGGGACATCTTGAAAATTTAAATGAAAATACAAAAAAAAAATAAATAAATAAATAAAAATAAGTAAAAAGAATTGGTAACGAAATCAAGAAAGCCCTAAATAATATTCGATATGCATTTCATTTTAAAATGAATCTAACGATAAGAAAATACGATAAGAAAATATTTTACTATGACTGAGAGGTTAGATTAGAATGCAGTAAGAGCTTTTTTCATCAAAGGTCATTTAAATAAAAATAATGACCAATAGTAGCGAAATCATAGGTGTAACGTTAAATTAATGTGTTGGTTAAATCTTATGGTTTCGTATATGGGCGAGTGTCCGAGAGTGAAGTTAAGTAGTGAAAGGGCAACAATTATCCTCAGGTACAGCTTTAAATTGTGGTATTCTAAATAACTTAACGCTAGATTAGGGACTCTAGAGACAACTTTTTGTTCTTCACAATATAAAATGTTACATACTGTTAATAAAATTCTATAAACAAATTTTTCAAGCAAATTTTTCACCAGATATCATAAACCATATATCGGACTTACAGTATCATTTTAAAAATTGCAACAAAATCGAGTGCATCTTTTTAATATGTTATTCTTATTTCTAACGAAACTATTAAACTGTTTTCTTTAAAAATTTTTTTAATTATCTTAACAACGTAAAAATCAGCACCAAAAAGATATATTAACGAATTATGATTTACCATCAGTCAACTGGCATGTATTATCGAAACATACACTCCTCGTAAAAATTACTTTTAAGCGATTTTAGTAGTAATAAAATATATAAATTTATATTGATTTTATAAAAATCATTTTTCAAAAAGGGGCTAGAGCTGTGTCGGAAATTTAAACAGTAAAATAATTTCTTAAATTTTATATTTATTTTATTTGGTTCGATGGATCCAGATTAGGGTGTAGTGAATTATAAAGTTTTTGGTAATAAAAACTTTCTCTTAACTAAAATCTTCACATTAAACGTGAAGATAAACATAACGGTTTTAGCTCGGAGTAAGTGGAAAAATAATCATTTGGAGTCGGGCAAACCAACTACTTAGTTGAAACCCACAATTAAAGCTAAAGCTTGTCGTAAAATAGCATTGCTATTGAGCAAGCACCAACAGCTCCTTATTAATGGATTAGGTTACGTTGGGGTGGTGGCCCTGTATCCAAGAACCCGTTTTAATATCTCATGATTAATGATGTGATTATACGATTAATATGATTAAAATAGATATATGTGCATATATATAGTATTATTAAATTTAAAGTATAACGTGCTTCTTAAAATATAGCAATACATACCACACTCACGAGAAGTACAAACAATATAATTCACAAAACATCGTACATAATCAATCGAATATTGATTGTAGATAAAGTACTCGTATTAAAAATTTATATCAATATATTTGCTAAATATTTACGCTCTAATCAGAGTTAACCTCAGCAAATAAAAATAAAGTTCTATGTTATTCTCTAACAAAATATCCATAAATGATGATAATTGATGATAAAAATGATGATAAAATTAAGTAATATCAATTTCAGCACTTGTTCATGAATAGTAGATGAAAAAAACAACACATAATATAATACCTAATAAAGCGGGGTAGATATTGAGCCAGCTAGCATGAAGGATGTACGAGGTTTCAGTGTCACCAACATAGGGATCATAGTACTGTATAAATTAAAATAACTAAATCAGAGCTCAAAAAAGGATATTCGATAGAATTCAGTAAGGTCATTTAATATTTTAGGTATTATCAAAATATGTTCTAAAAAATAATATATGACAAAAGAAGATTCTATCGATGATACAAAAAAAAGATATAAATATTTTGAGCAAGCAACTAAATCTGTTAGAAAAAAATGCTATAAAAACCGAAAAAAAAACAGAACTCATTTAAGTCACGATTCCATGACTTAATGAATGAATTAAAGACGCTAACAACGGAATATCTTACAATATTAAAAACCTTGGGAAAAGGGTATACAGTCAAACTACCATAACACGAAGTAATTACATTTTAAGATATTTATTTATTTGCAATCAAATAAAGCATAGAAGGTATAGTAAATGTATATAGAAGTTATATTCAGAAATTAGGGTTTGGGACTTTAATTTTTTTATTTTCAGTAACAAGGGATTCCACTTTATTCATACTCTTATACCATAGTGATCATCAGTTCTAGTATCATTCATTTGGAAATATAAATTCAGAATATTGAATGAGACTTCTACTTCAATCTTGGAAGGCTGTTGAATAATTACACCCTCATCATCACTTTCCGTTGCGCTTAGAATTGGATCCAGTAATTTAGAGCTATAGTGCTCAATAATATCAATTAATAAAAATTCGACTATGGAATGCACTTTCCCATATACCTATTGACACGGAACAAAATTTTTGTTCGAGTTATAGAGAAATTCGAATTACAGAAGTTCGAATTATGGAAGCAAAATTATATGTAATTTGTTCACTAGAACATTGGTGCACTGTTTTTGGTGCGAGTTATGGAAGTTTAACTGTATTTATTAAATTAAACTTATATTCATATTATTGTTTGAAAGTGGTTCGTTTTTTGCATTTTAGCCCGACATTTCCAAATGCTATAAATCCTTGTTAACAGAGATTAAAACTATACTGTTTATATCGTTTGAGAGACAGATATATTCCTATATATTCATATATTCATTATATATATTCATATTTTCCTTATTACATGTACTCGTTTCTTTCAATACCTTTTTCATTCTCTCGTCATCCAATAGATACACATACTGCGATTTATTGCAGATCAATTCATATCATTTTTACACAAGCAATATATATAGGAGACTTGAGGTCATATTCTTCCTTTATTCTTTTCTTTATACATAGAATATTTATTAGAATTAGTGGTTGCTGTCCAAATGGTTTTTTTTACTAGAAAATTTGTATAGCTACCAACCTCTTCACTGATTTTGAAAGAGTGATTTTTGTCGTTAGATATAAGGAAGGAAATTTTAGAATCGTTGCGGTAGGTCAAATAGTTTTTACGGATTGTATAAGCAATGCGATAACACTGCTACGATTTTACCATTTTCTTTTGGGGTTACTTTTGTTGCTGAACGCTATATTAAACGAATGGAATAGATTAGAATGAATCTCACTATAAGTAAGAAACACTAGTGCAGTAAAAAGGAAGAAATATCGGTTCTTTAAAAAATGTGATTAAAAATTAAAAATGTTAAAAATTTAAAGGTACTTAATTAATAATTTAAATGTATAGCATCAAATTGAAGTCGCAGTTAATCGGTAATAAAATATTAGTTTAATATCTATAATTTCATAACATCTATAATTTCAAAAATCTATTACTTCATAAGACAATATCATAGCATATCAATATCTTATATAATAAAATAAATTTCACTAAATATTGAGAGTTTTCAAGAAGAATCCTTAATGTTGTTAAAGAATCTTAGTTTACAATTCAAGGATAATACAATAAAAAGATACAATAAATTACACCTATTCTAATTTCGTTATTTATTCTATTTTTAAAGCGTCCTCAATATATTTAATATCAAATCAAAAGTGTTAATCGCATGTTTGTAGTTGTATCATTTATATATTTGAAAAAAAATGTTTAAAATAATCAAAAATTCAATCAAATTCTTAAAATATCCATTATTCAAAGATTTCAATTTTTTTCCGATTTTAGCTATTTTTTATTAAATGAATATCGCTAATAGATATATTCAAAATATGCATGGACAAAGCATATTTAAAACCCACAGCCTATAAAGTTACATATATCATATATATATCAAATATATATATATATATCATAATATATATCATATATATCATACATATATCATAATTTTTAGTTTATTATAATAAATACCTGCGACTCATTTTGCTGCCTTCCTTATTCGCAACTTTGATATTATTTTAAGTCCTGGAGTTTTGCAAAATCATAGTTTTGTCGTTATCATTACAGGTGTGTTGTCCTATATTTCCACCAAAGCCCTACTCCTATATATATATATACACATGTGGAACATATGTGTATATATATATACTAATTGTTGTGAAAAGTATCCAGTTTAGCTGGTTACAAAGAAGCAAAACTTTTATAAAAATATATATACTCAACAGAAAATTTTATTAAATAAAAAAAACAAACAAATGATTTTATCTTTAATTCATTAAATCTTACGTTATTTAAAATTCATGTTGCTTGGATTGGTTTGGATAACAACATAATTAATTACGAATTTTTTTTCTATTAATATCAAAGTACTTCTAATAGTGACGGAGCTAGGCCAACTTTGGAATTTGGCGACATAAGAATTGCAGGGCCTTTTCACTATTTGGGTCTTACTCACCTTATAGACTCCTTCTCTACGCGCTTAACAAATAAACACAAGATGTGAAAGACAAACATTCATACGAAACGGCTCCAAGTTTAAGGAAAGAGTCAACATTAGGGATCTTTTTAGAAGACTTTGAACTAAAGTTGTGTGTAAGCCATCAAAGAAGTAGTTGTCTAGTTACGCATACATGATGAAACCAGAACAGTAATAAACATATATTAACATAACCTGACGATTATCAAATTAATGAACTCCGTTGTATAAAATCAAATGTTGCTCAGGATTACCTGGCAGCTCTAAATGATATCAACATCGTTATTAGGGTGCGCCAATTATGGGTCCAGGGGCATAACAGTGTGTAGGGAAATTGCTAGGCTGATGAACTAGCTAAATAAGGTACTTATCTCCCTCTAGTTGCAGGCAAAAGTGTTATTGCTAATATACATATTGTATACTTGTATAAATTATTATTGAAGAAGTAGTGTTATTTAAAAGATCAATTCATCTTGAGAAAACAAAGATCTTGATAAGATACAATTAAAAGATTTATTAACTTTTGCAAATGGTGCAGAAGTGCTTAAAATAAGGAAGAAGAAGAACTCTTTGAATACCTCTTCTGTAACTGCCAAAAAGCACAGCTAATTTGTTAGGCAATTATGTCTTTAGTTCGCGCATAAAAATGTCCAGCACAAAAAATGAAAATTACATTAGTCTTAATAAAGCCCTGGAAAGGTTTCATAATTCTCGGGTTATGTAGTGGTATCATAATAAACCGTAGTTTTAATACCATCAAGGTAGTTGTACTGTTTGTCTTTTAATGTTATATTCTTATCTTTGTTTTTTCGTAGTTTAGTTTTCTGTCTAAAATTTATAATATATTATTTACCATATATAAATAATATATAATATACTAGAGCTTTAATAGTATTTAATCTGAGCTGTGGCACATTCAACTTTAAAGTAGATGTTTCTGCGACATCTGATCCCCTGATAAAACAAGGCAGCCTAATTACTTTCTAAAAAAATGTTGTACCGCGTTGATATCATATTGGACTTATTAGGTCCTTTATATTTGTATATTTATACTTTATATAACATCTCTGTAAGTACACATATATCATAGGTCTACTTAGACCACTAATGAATCCTTATAATTGTATGTTATTTGATCTTTATCGGTTTTTTATAACTATATCTAGCACAACAAGAAGTAGCTGAGGTTGCCATCCATAGCCATGTCGGACTCCTT